GATTTTTTTTACCAAAATAAATCTGGAGAAAAAAAAAAGATCAATGTACATTTAATGTAAAAATATTTTAAATAATGAAAACTGATGAAAAAATAATAAAGAAACCCACAACTCAAGTTGCAAGAATAGAGAAAACATAATTGTAAGATTACATTAAAATCAGCAACTGTGAAAAAATGTGGAAAGATGTCCATTCTCTCCATTCCAGTTCATACAGTGCTTATAAATGCCCTTCTGGGGTTCATCAACATTATGAAAGAATGCAGGTTTGTGTTCCAGGACAACACTGAGGCACATTTTCCTTTGAGGATAAAAGATTAGAATTATTAATGCCATAATCAGACAGATGCGATCATGAAGGAGGTTCTGGGACAAGATATTGCTCATGAATTAGAGAGGGGTCACTTGTTATACACTTCAGAGGAAGGAAGAAAGTTCCTTGCTCTGTGACTGATGAACAGGCTATCATTCACACTTATAGCTAGGTGGGCTATTTTTCAGGTTGGCAAGGGAAAGGAAATTTATCTTATGTTATAGGTAATCAAAGCATGACTTTTAAGATGGAAGAAGAGGGTATGGAAGAGGAGTGCATTTTGCTACTGTTTTCCCATCACACAGGCTACACTCTTTGTAGCCCCAACCGTGAAGGAGCCTATTAGTCTAGAGTCTCTATACAGCTGCAGATGGGAGTGGACACAGCACCACCTTATCTGGGTTCTAAGATTATGATCACTTCTTTAGATTCGTTGACCATTGCAATGTCTCAATCAACTTTTCCCTTATTACTGATGTTATTCTTTCAACAATGCAATGAATCTGATTAGTGTTGTCTATAAAATGTCCATTGTTGAGCCATTTTGTGTAAGGCCAACCCAATAGGGGGTCATAGCCCTAAAAAACTGATTCTCCTTCCCCTAACAGTCATCAAATGTCAATAAGTCTTCAGATAATGATGTCCCTGCCAATTCTTTGTGAGTAGTGGTTGACTGGTTTGATCTTGGGCACAACAGCAATGATTTCATCAGTGATATAGTCATGCCCTGTTCACAGGACGTGGTTTCACCCTGATCCTCCTTAAACTCTGGATCTGATGATCTTTCTGGCCCCTCTTCAATGATGTTCACAGAGCCTTAATGAGAGGCAGTGTGATATAATGGTCCCCTTTATGGCTCAACACTCCATAGACATGGCATTTTAAACAGTTGTGAGTCTCCATGTTAAATGCAGCACAGTACAAGAAGAAGCTTCCTTGATGCCAAATGAGAGCTACACTAACATAGGGAAATCAAAATACATATTTAGAAGGCACCTTTGTGATTATGCTTACTTATCAAAATAATGGTAGTAAGTCTTCCGTTAGGACTAAGATTTCCTTAGCCATGGGCTCTTGGTTAGGGTAACTGTAATAGACATGGGATTTCCCTTGCGGAGTGGATCTTAACATGAACAAGAAAGAGGCCAGTTACCTGCATGACATTCTTTCTACTATTGTACCCATGAGTAAATCTTTGCCAGGCCCAATATTCTTTTGACTTGCAGGGTTTGCAGCTGGGTACAGCTATGATTGATTTTTTTCACCCAGCTTCTGGAATAACACCCATTGACACTATCAATCTAAAGAGCAGGGAGTAAGCTTATGGTCACTTACCAGATTGACTTTTTCATGTACTGTGATCAAAGCTGTGATGGTCTCCTCAATAGGGTCTTGCTATCAAGTTCAGGCTGCATGCAGCCATCCAGAGGCCACTTCTGGAACACATGGACCACCTCATTCTGTCCCCGGACTTCCTTATTTAAGCCTCCAGTGTCTTTCATGCATCTAACATCACCAAGCCCTGCATAGACTGACCACCTCTTCGTACTTCAGAACCAAACTCTTGGCTAAGACCACTTATTGACCTGTCTGAAACTATTCATAGGTCCTTTTTGTGATGTGCCAATCACCCCAGTAGGACCACAGACTTCTGTCCTCTTCCAGGGTCGATCACAGTGGATTCCACCAACATCCCCATGCATTCTTTTTCTTCAAGTCCCCAGATCTAACCAGGATCCCACAGCAGCACCCTGGCCTAGCATGGTCACCCAAGCCTATACAGTCCCCAACATCTAGGCCTCTTCAAGGTATCGCTTCCTTTCATTAGCCTAGTCTGAACACCAAGGCCTGTTCTTCAGACAAGCTCTAGGCTTCAGCCAGGAAAACCCTACCTGAAGCCTCCTATAGCTTCCACCACCCACTTTTTACCCAGAGTTCTCATGTCATCCTCCAGGGGCTAGACTGGCCAGTACCCCTGACCTCCCCATCATGCCTGTTCTGAGGCCCACCAGATATAAGCATGGTTTCCACACCCAGAATCATGGTCTACTCAGCCAGCCATGTCTGTAAAACTGATAACTTCTATGCATCACCAGGGTCACGTATCTTTGATACTAGCATAGTCTAACCACCCCAGCTCGGGTCAGAGACAACCTCTAAGCCTAACCAAAACCTGCATTCACAGGATTTGTCTACAGGTACTTTCTGTGAAGCATCTGCCACCACATTAGTCATCCACACTTCACATGTAATCATCTAGGGTAAGGCTTGACCTTGACCTCCTCATCCATAACTTTTCTGAAATATAACTGCTCTAGACCCTATCCCATATCTTTTTCCCCTGCCAAGTATGTCCACACCAGATTGTACTGCAGGCAAGCTCTGGGCTTTGATTGGCACATGGCCTACCTACATGAATGCATAGGCAACTTCTGGAGAAGATCTGATTCACTGCTTCCATGCAAATGTAATACAACCTCTATGGAGTTTTAACCTTATCCTTTCTTTGTGACAACTCTGCCGCCCCTGCACAGTTAAGGTCCTCAAAACATAGACTCTTCATGTCCTCCTCAAACGTCCATCAGGAGAACCAGTGAACAATCCTGTCTTCCCATCCATGCCTTTCACACAACAGACCACATGTGGCCTCGGCTCACAAACCATGGGTTCTATAACCCGTGTCTCACAGCCTGGTCTGGTCCAGGTTACCTGCACAGCAGGCAACATCTCTACTTCATTAAGTTCCCCAAACCATAGCTCTGGACTTAACTGTCCACCATGGCTTTGCTTCAGAGAAACTCTAGGCATTATCTAGGGCCTATCAAAACTGAAATAACACTCAGGTCCATTTGAGGCAGCATTAACAATGCTGCTTGTTACCCAGATTTTCCTTGTCGTCCTGTAGCGTCTAGACAGGTAAGTTGCCCTGATCTCCCCATCGGAGCCCATTATATCTTTCCTTCAACCTGGAAGATCTAGTAAAGATCATAAAACTAGTTTCCTGGCCTAGTTTGCTCCTCAAACTCTACTGACACAGCAGCCATCACTAGACATTGTGAGGGTAGTAAGTAATTCACGTCAGCGTAGTATGACCACTTGAGACCTCAGGCTTCGGGCAGGAAACACCTTACCTTCATCTACTCACAGGTACATTCTAGGCTGCCTCCACCATGCTACTTAGTACCCAGACTTCCTTCTTCAGCCTCCAGGGTCTAGCAAAGCCCTTCTGTGTGACCATCACTGCTTAGTACATAGATTCCTCACAGTTGTCTCCAAAGTCCTATCTCATATTCTGTGCCTGGCCTAATCTCACAAACCCTGAGTGTTCCAGCAACCAAACTCTGTGCTGCGGATAGTACCCGTCCTAACTTCAAACATTAATAGGTCCCTTCTTCCCAGAACTCACAACCATTTAGGTACCCGGACTTCCCAAGCCCTCTTCCAGATTCTAGTCTGGTGAGTACCCTTGTTATCCCCTTCAAATCCTTTTTCCTGTGATCAATGCCATGGCTTAGTCAGTCCAGTCCTCCCTGCACAACACCTGATCTCTAGGCTTCCTAAGGGTTTTGCTGTCTTGGCCTATTCTGACTAACTCAGCTGTCACTAGCGACAAGTTCTCCAATCTATCCAGGACTTACTTACCTGCAATAAACCACCAGAACATACCATGCAGTTTCCACCATGCTCCCGAGTAACCAGGTTTCCCATCTCCTTCTACAGGGTCTACCCAGACCCCTATTATGTGGCCCCCATTAATTGCCTTGTTATCCAGACCCTCTGAATCTTCCTCCATTGCCTCGCCTGTATTTGTCATCCTGTTCCCCAACTATTCTGACTCTTACAAACTACTTGTGATGTAGCAAAACTCTAGTTTGCTGGCAGTTCTCACCCTACCTGTAACCACCCAGTTTCCTTCTGTATTTTTTCCACCATGCCCCTCAGCACCTAGACATACCACGACCTCTAGCAGTTATGCTCTGATTCCTTCTGTGTGACCCCACCAGTACTTGGTATTTAGACTCCACAGGACTTCATTCACAGTCTAGTCCTTGTTGAGATTCAATGTCCAGGACCAGCCTAAATACCTCTATCAGTGCTACAGCCACACTCTGGGCTACATCCTGGGCACCCTACCTGTGGTCACCCACAGACACCTTCTGGGATGCATCCATCAAACTCACTCAACATATAGGGTCTAGTATGGGTCCCACATTCCTTTCTCCAACATTGATTATACTAAAACCAAAGGAAAGGATTTTACCCACAACTGCCTTACCTGCAACAACCCACATGTTTCCTTCCTCCACTACCTCAGTAGGTACCAAGATTTCCCATGTCCTGTAGAGCAAGCACAATGAGTTCCCTTGGTGTTCCCAACAAACTTTTCTGTAACCCAATAGATCTAGCCTTGTTCCAAGCCCTTCTCATAGTCCTACTGTGTCCACCCCCAATGGAAAAGGAGCCAACGTCTAGGTTTTACCAAACCAGTCTTAAGTTCCTTCTGTTTCCCTTAACCATGTCCCTCATTACCTATTTGTGATTACTATTCTTAATTATCAACTAACTACATCAGATATTACCTAAAAATCAAAGTCACTGAGCAAACCTGTGAGGGATTTTAGTTAATTGGATCTTGAGGTAGGAAGAGGCAACTTAAATCCAGATCACTTGAGGTGGGAAGACTTACCTTTGGTGCCGGCTATAGCTTTGGGTGGCTCCCTAGGTAAAGGACAAGGAAGAAAGAAATTATTGCTCTTTTCCTGCTTGCCCATGCTCTTGACTCAATGGCATTAGAGCCTACTTCTTTGGGAATTAGATGCTTACTGAAGACCAGCTGAAACAACCAGATTTGTAGAGTGAAAAACTACTGATTCCATTGTTGGACTAGTCAGACCACAGCCTGTAAGCTACTCTAATAAATCCCACACATATTCTATTAGTTCTGTTCTATAAAGAAGCAGGACAATATACCATTCTTCCCATATTTACATCCAGGGTCCACCCTGACTCCTTCTGTGGGGCTGCAATCAACTGGCATGGTATGCATACTTCCCAAGTCCTACTCTGGGGTCATCCTGGTTGGTTCCCTGGACTTCCCCAATGAAGCCTTTCTCTAACCTGCCAGTTCTACCCAGGTCCTACATCCAGTGTCCTGATCTAGTCTGGCCACCTAGCCTGTGTGATAGCCAATATCTAGGCTTCCACATCTTTGCAATGGCCTAGCCTAACTAAACCTCCTTTGCCTCAGAGAAAGTTTAACCTTCATCTGGGATGGCACTACCTGTAACTTGTCTCATTTCTGTTTATGTTTGCCTCCACTACTGCAGTTGGTACTCCGAATTCCCATGTCCTCTACCAGGTTCTAATGTGTATGTTGTAACCTCAACATCTAAGCTTTCCCCCCCTGCTATTAGATCTAGTCTTGATCCCATAACCCAGACCATGGACTAATGTGACTCTCACTGTCAGCAACAGAGGCCATTAAGCTTTGGCCGGGTCTATATAGTTTACCCATTAATACTCTGACCAACACTGCCTAAACTGAGGCCAAGCTCTAGGACTCTACCAGTACCTGACCTACCTACAACCACCAATAGACCTCTTCAGCACTGTCTCCATCCCCATCAAATGGACACAGACTCCCCATGTTACTACTCTCCATGTTCTATCATGGGTCCCACCTCCCCACCACCATCAATCTCTGTCCAGACATTATTGCTACCCAGCCAAGCTCTAGACCTCAACCATGAAATGCCCTACCTGTAGCCATTCACAGTAGCTCCTGAAGAAGTATTCTCTGTACCAGCAGGTTTCCCCACTTCCCAAGTGCTCCTCTAGGCTCAAGCCTAGTGAGTTTCCTTGACTCCAGAATCCATGACATTCTGAGAACACTCTAGCCATTGTGATGCACCCACTGTCATAGCCTAGTCTGACCATACCCTGACCTCTCAGCAGTTAAGCTCAGGCCTTTGTCCACACCTACTCTAGCTGCAACCACACATGCACATGTTTTGCCCTTTCTCCATCATTACACTTTTCCCCCTAGACATAGCACATCCTCAGTAATCTAGCCTGGTCCATTCTGTGTAGCTTCCATGAACACACTTAGTACCCAGACTCCCCAAGTCCTCCTCCTCTGATCAGATCTTGCCAACACAAAAAAAACAGTTGAATGAAATAGGGAAATAAATTCAAGATAGGAAAATTGCTAAAGGTCTCTCAATCTGGATTCTCTCTTCAAAGAATAAACTCAATAGAGAGCCACAGAGATGAGACACACAGGAACAACCAAATTAGCAACATCAAAATAGGCAAAAGGAGAAAAAATATACCAGTTGCTGAAGAAATTCATCAGAGCATAAGGACATATGTTGAAATTTTCTTTTTTTGTGCTTTTTTATTTTATTTTTATTATTCATTTTTAAGTTTAAATTTAGATTAGAAACAAGGTTGCTTCACAAGTCAGTTCCAGGTCCCTCACCCTTTCCCTCACCTCTTCCGATGCCCTCCCCGCAACCCACCCATATCCCCTCATTTCCCCAGGGAGGGTGAGGCCCTCCATGGGCTTGTCCATAGTCTGTCATTTCATCCAGGGCAGGGCCCAAACGCTCCCCCAAAATTTCAAGGTGAGAGTGCAACTCACTTTGTTGGACTGGAATCCAAAATCCATGTGTATACTCGGGATGAATACTGATCTACTGCCCAAGGATCAATAGTTACCTAGGTCTCCTCACTGACACCCCCAGACAGGGGGTCTTGATCAGTCCCATGCTGGATTCCCAGACATCAGCCTGGGATTCAAGAGCTAACCCTTGTCAGGTCAGCTGTTTCTGGGGTTAAAACAGCCCAGTCTTAATCCCTTTGGTCATCAGTCCTCCCTCTCTGTTACTGGCTTTTTTTAGTTCAGCTCAGTGCTTAGCCGTGGGAGTCTGCCTCTTCTTCCATCAGCCACTGAATGAAGGTTCTGTTTCCCACACTCTCTGGCCATGGTACTGTAGGCTCGCACTCCCCAGATGTATTTCTAAAATCCATAAATTAGAGAGTACATATCATGTTTCTCTATTTGTGACTGGGTAACCTCACTCAGGATGGTTTCTTCTATTGTCATCCATTTGCCTGCAAATCTCAGTATTCCATTGTTTTTTTTTCTGCTGAATAGTACTCCATTGTGTAAGTGTACCACATTATCTCTATCCACTCTTCGGTTGAGGGGCATCTAGGTTGCTTCCAATTTCTGGCTATTACAAATAATGCTGCTATGAACATAGTGGAAAAGACATCCTTGTATGAATGGGCATCTTTTGGATATATGCCTAAGAGTGGAGTTCTGGGTCTTGTGGAAGGTTTATTCCCATTTTTCTGAGGAATCTCCATACTGATTTCCAAAGTGGCTGAACAAGTTGGCACTCCCACCAGCAATGGAGGAGTGTTCCCCTTTCACCACATCCTCTCCAGCATAAATTGTTGGTGTTTTTGATTTTAGCCATTCTGACAGGAGTGAGATGGTATCTCAGAGTTGTTTTGATTTGCATTTCCTGGATGGCTAAGGATGCTGAGCACTTTATCAAGTGCCTCTCAGCCATTTTAGACTCCTCTATTGAAAATTCTCTATTTAGTTCTGCAGCCCAATTTTTAATTGGATCCTTTGGTGTTTTGTAGATTTGCTTCTTGAGTTCTTTACAAATTTTGGAGATCAACCCTCTGTCAGATGTGGGGTTAGTGAATATTTTTTCCCATTCTGTGGGCTGACTTTTTGTCTTGCTGACTGTGTCCTTTGTCTTACAGAAGCTCTCAGTTTAAGGAGGTCCCATTTATTCATTGTTGATCTCAGTGTCTGTACTACTGGTGTTATGTTCAGGAAGCTGTCTCCTGTACCAATTCATTCAAGGGTACCACCCACTTTCTCTTCTAAGAGGTTCAGTGTGCCTGGATTTATGTTGAGGTCTTTGATCCGTTTGGACTTAAGTTTTGTGCATGGTGATAAATATGGATCGATCCGCATTCTTCTACATGCCGGCCTCCAGTTATGCCAGCACCATTTGTTGAAGATGCTTTCTTTATTCCATTGTATATTTTTAGCTTCTTTGTCAAAGATCAGATGTTCAAACATGTGTGGGTTAATATCAGGGTTTTCAATTCGATTCCATTGGTCTACCTGCCTATTTTGTGCCAATACCAAGCTGTTTTCAGGACTATAGCTCTATAATAGAGCTTGAAGTCAGGGATGGTGATACATCTGGACGTTCTCTTGTTGAACAGGGTTGTTTTGGCTATCCTGGGTCTTTTGTTTTTCCATACAAAATTGATTATTGTTCTTTCAAGGTCTGTGAAGAATTGTGCTGGGATTTAATGGGGATTAGATTGAATCTGTAGATTGCTTTTGGCAGGATTGCCATTTTTACTACATTGATCCTACCTATCCAAGAGCATGGGAGACCTTTCCATTTTCTGAGGTCTTCTTTAATTTCTTTCTTTAAAGATTCAAAGTTCTTGCGATACAGGTCTTTCATTTGTTTGGTTAGCATTACCCCAAGGTATTTTATGTTGTTTGTGGCAATTGTAAAGGGTGATGTTTCTCTGATTTCTTTCTCAGCCCTTTTATCATCTGTATATAGTAGGGCTACTGATTTTCTTGAATTGATCTTGTAGCCTGCCACTTTGTTGAAGGTGTTAATCAGCTGTAAGAGTTCCCTGGTAGAGTTCTCTGGCTCATTTATGAAAACTATCATATCATCTGCAAATAGTGAAAGTTTGACCTATTCCTGCCATTCCTCCCAGCCACGTTGGAGTTTCAACATCTAGGACCACAAGCAGAAATGAACTTTGTCGTTTATTAATTGTCTTGGTAATGGTGTTTTATCACCAGTGATTAAGGAATCCCATAGAAAAGAAGGCAGAAATAATGTAAGAGTCATAGGGGCTCTTATGAAATCATAGAGATTGAAGAAGCAGGCACAGGACCTTCACAGGTCTGTACCATGTCCCTTGCATTTAAAACATGTTTTCCAGATTAGTATTTTTATGTAATACCTGTTTGTGCAAACCCATGATTCTCTGACTCTGTGACTTCTCTTGGGCTCTTTTCCTTCTACTCATTTACCTAATTTTGAGGTGGTAGGTTTTATTCCATACTATTTTGTTTTATTTTTATATTTTAATTACCTAGCTGCTAGTGTAAAGTTTATCAGCTGAACTGCCATTTCTTCTGCCTGGGAGATGGAAAGGCAGTTTTCTTCAATGGAATGGCACTGGGTATGTCAATCACTCCAGGGCAGGGTTCATCATCAGTAGTAGTTGACCACAAACAACAGATCCCACAGTTCTGTGTGTGCTTTTATTTCATTACAGATGATGTTGTTCCTGCTGGTTTTTGGATGTCGTATTTTTTTCTCTAGGTTTGGTGGATTTTTGTTGTATTGGTTTTTTTGTTGATTTTTAAAGAAAAAACTAAAATTTGAGTGGGTCCAGAGGAAGAGAGAATCTGGATGGACTTGAGGAAGAGGAAGAATATGACCAAAATATTTTAATGTAAAAATGTTTTCAGTAATGAAAAATAATAAAAATATAAAAAAAGAAGCCCACAACCAGTCTCATGCTAAACAGAGAAACAAAATTGTAGGATTTCCTTAAAATCAGGAACTGTGGAAAGATGTGGAAGATGTCCATTCTCTCCATTCCTCTTCAATACAAGGATTGAAAGTCCCCTTCTGGAGTTCATCACCATTATGAAAGATTGCACTTTTCGGTTCAAGGAGAACACTGAGTCACAGTTTCCTTTGGAGGTAAAAGATTAGAATTATTAATGCCATAGACAGACAGATGGGATCATGAAGGAGGTTCTGGGACAAGATATTTCTCATGAACCAGAGAGGGGTCCCTTCTTATAGATTTCAGAGGAAGGAGGAATATTCTGTGCTCTGTGGCAGATGAGTAGTCTATCAAGCATACTTGTAGCTACTCTATCTCTTTTTCATGGGTTGCAGGGGAAAGGGAATTGATCTTACATTTGAGGTAATCAATGCATGACTTTTAGGATGGAAGAAGAGGGTAGGGAAGAGGGGGTGCATTTCGCTACTGTGTTGCCATCACACAGAATATGTTATTCATAGCCCCAACCAGCTTGGAGCCTATTAGTCTAGAGTCTCTGTACAGCTGCAGAGTGGAGTGGACACAACACAGTTGATCTGGGCTTTAAGATTATGATTACTTCTTTAGAATCTTTGACAATTGCAATGTTTCAATTGCCTTTTCCCTTGTTACTCTTGTTATTCTTTTGACGATGCTATGAGTCTGATTAGTGTTGTTTAAAAAATGCCCATTGTTGAGCCATCTTGTGTACGGCCAAACCAATAGGGGGTCAAAGCCCTAAAAAAACTGATTCTCCTTCCCCTAACAGTCATCAACTGTCAACAAGTCCTCATTTAATGATGTCCTGGCCAATTCTTTGTGAGGGGTGGTTGATTGGTTTGATCTTGGGCACAACCGCAATGATTTCATCAATGAAATAGTCATGCCTTGTTCACTAGACATTGTTTCACCCTGATCTTTCTTTAATCTCTGGATTTGGCAATCTTTCTGGCCCGTCTTCTGTGATGTTCCTAGAGCCTTAACCAGAGGAAGTGTGATATGATGGTCCCCTTTATGGCTAAACACTCCATAGGCATGGCATTTTGATCAGTTGTGAGTCTCCATATTCACTGCAGCCCACTACAGGAAGCAGTTTCCTTGATGCAGACTGAGAACTACACTATCCTATGGATATCAAAATACATAATGTAAGGCTCCTTGACATTATGCTTATTAAACAAATTAATTGTAGTAAGTCTCCCTGTAGGTCTATGAT